CCAGCGAAAGAGCTTTACATGATCACGAGAGGGATGATCCGCAATTGAGTCCTTGTATTTTGTGGTGGAGCGGGATCAGCAAAATTCATGAGAATGCTGGATCCGGCTTGCCACTGTGTCTAGAACACAAACTATAGGAAGGGGTACTCCTATTGATCCGTGATCAGCTGAACTTCCTCATCTTGTGTACCCGTCGGTAGTGTTGGATCTTGCTCCTCCGGTAACTGCAGGTGATGTCCAGTGTTGAAGATCGGGAATGTCTTGGCGAGACGCAGGGATGTAGTAAACAGCGCGGAATGTCTTCGCTCTGTTGCCAGGTAAGTTGACCCGGAGTCCACGTGAGTAGTCGAACGCGGTAGGTTGCCTTGGTGTGTGGTCTTCCTTAGGGGTTGGTTGGTGTTGATCTTGCGATCCCTTTAAGTTACTTACAGTCTCCTGTGACTGGATCTTGGGGGTTGTTGAGAGATTGATGGAAACGCGACCAAGCACTTAATGCCGTGAATCCGGAGCTTGCACGTATAGAATAAGTATCAAGTAATTGGATCTGGCCAATATATTATCCAGTTATCCGAACTACGCTAAATTCAATATTCCTAATACGCAATCACCTTGTAGGGCCAATATCTATCCCGATCCAAGGTGTTCGTAATGTACTACGTGTGTATCAAATAAAGAAACCAACCATGATGCAAATTGGATTCTCCTTTGGTGAGTAATTGGGGTCTTGACATACCGTGCAGGGACGCGAAGAAGTCTTGGATCTTGCTTGGGCAATGTATATTCCTTCGCGAATCACACTGAAGGCCAATATGCGCTTCCCCACCGTGCCTGTCACGGGAGCCAATATGAGCTTCCTCACAGACGTCCAATAAACTTGCGCTCGATGATGCAAATTCGGTTCTCCCTTAACCCTAAGTCCTTGATTTTAGTTCGTCCCATCCTCTATTCTCTGGATTCACCTACCTTCCCTTCGGGCAGCTGCTTATCTTCGGATCTTGATGTACGCTGCCGATTACATACCTTGTTCACTTGATCCGAATTGGTCTTGAGTAATCATATCTAGATCAGATATAGTCGTACTCAGATCAAGCACCTATAATCAGGATATTTTTGACGAATCCAATGTCTGCGAATCAGCTTGATCTAAGTCAGGTCTGATTCTTCTCATCCCGATCGATTGCCTTGTCCCTGGTCCAGATCCATCCATCATTTCTTATTCCGGTCTTTCCTTTAGTAATCTCCCGAATCCACTTCACCACAATCGCCTCCTGTCAGATAGTTGTTGCTGCACAACGGTAACACTGCTGGCACTTCTGCACTTTCCCTCGTCCAACACCCAGATCATCATGTCCCACGCGAGCGACGACCTAAGCCACGACGGATCCACCGACGACAGATTGCCTGAGTCTGCGTTCGACCCCGACACCACTCGTGAGGAGTTGCATCGGTTCGCCATGGGCCTGTTTCGCGAGGTCGTCGACCTCACAGCGGAGTTGGCAGCTCATAAACTTCCCACCGAGACTGGATCCCCCTCGATCGAACAATCGAGCACAAGGAGAAGCTTGCCGATCTTCGCGACTACATCCAGGAGCAAGGGCAGCTATCGCCTTCATGCAGCAGTCCATAGACAGACTCAGCTCCGACCGTGACCATTTACAGGCCTCCATGACCTGGACGCCTAATTTCCGGCCGACTCCGATCCCCACACTACCACAGCTCGAGAACCATATCGCGGATCTGAAGCCTCACGTGACTCAGCTATTCCGTGAGCGGGAGCAAGCTGGTGAAGAGATCCTGGAGCCCCAGGACCAGTGCGACACGGCGGCCGATCGCGATCGAGAAACAGCGGTCGATCAGCTGTGGGTCACGGAGTCGGTCCTTCGTCATGTATATGATCTTTGGACCAGACGGAGGAAGGTCTACTGACAGCACGGCAGCTCTCCGCCGCGAATCTACACCCAGATCCCCAGCACGGCGTCGCTCTTCAAACCAAACTGGATCAACTAGCGGCAGAGCGTGCATCTCTTCACGATCGCTTCCTTCAAGTCTCTCGCAAGCGCGACACCCTGAACAGCCAGGTCCAAGATCGATATCGTGTGGCAACTGACGTTCAAGCCCAATTTCAGCGGAAATTGACCGAGATGCAGCAGGAGAAGGGTCGCCATGAGGGGCTTCGCGCCGATCTAGTGAATGCTTACCATAATTCTCGATCTGATCCACTGGCATCTCTTCCATTGCAGATCACGACGTCAACGTCGCGCTGGCGGCTTTCGCTGCCAACGAGCGCACGATCACAGAGACCAAGTCCAGGAAGTTGTCTCTAGGTCGCATGTGGATTGGGAGCGTACGGCCTTGCGTCGGGAGCTCCGACGAGCTCTCGAGATGTTGTCGACTGTGGCTGCTGGTATGGGATCCGATCCTCCGATCACCCCGGTCTGTCTGGACACTGATAATGAGCACGAGGCCCCAGGAGGCAAAGATCTGGCATATGAAGAGTCATATCTTTCGCCTAGCGACCAGGAGAAGTCCGAACCTCAGTCTGATAATCATGACAAAACAGGGTCTCCTTCCGATAATCAAGACTCGGAGTTTATTCCGCCATCCAATGGATCTCAAGACTCTTCCGCGGGTGGTGAGTCTGAGTGCAGCTACTCATCACTTCCAAGGCTGGAGACTCCGTGAATCGTGCTTGCAGTTTATCACCTTCTGACACAGCTCGGCCATTCAAAGCGCAATATTTCAGTAGTTGAAGACACCGACGGGAGCGACGATCAGGGCAAGATCCAGATGATTTCGACATGGGTAGTGGGGGTAAGCATGATCATGGTGTTGATCGAGATGACGGCAATCCGGCCAGTGATCCTCGTGATCTAGCCCGACACAGGGGCGTCCCTGAGGCCACCCCACAGCCAAGGCCTCAGCCTTCCCACCCTGGAACCACTGCTACGGGCGGAGAGTCACGTCGATCTGCTCCTGGTGGTGGTAGGTTGGATTCAGATGCAGCTGATGACGCCGGCACCTCTCCCGAGAGTTCTGTGTATCAGAGCAGTGACGAAGTTCTTGACAACATGCTCCAAGCGCAAACGTTGATGGCGCTCGCCCGATCTCGATCTGAGCAACGTCGGCGGAATCATGCTGCTCTAGGTCGAACTGCTGCGGGTGGTGCCGGTGATCCTGGATCCGGTGACGATTCGGACGACAGTGGGTCAAACGATGACAGTACGGAGGCCGCTCCTCCTGCGGATCCAGCAGGCTCACTCATCCCCACGGATCCTGCGATGCTTCGTAGCACCCTTCGCTGCGGATCAGGACTGCATCCCAGGGCACCAACAGGATCGCGTACATACCGTGGCGGACATCGATCCGTGGCTACCAGATCGGATCGTAAAGAGGGCCATGACTACCCTTACTATCGACCTGTTGTCCCGCGCGCTTCCTTTCGATCCAAGCTGGATCTTCCCTGGTCGAGCACCCAGAGTGGCTACTCCCACCGCGACCGTCCACGGTGGCCATTTGATCACAGTTACCAACGCTCAAGCGCTCATGACCGCCTAGCCTTGGAGAAGATCGGCGGTGCCAACAACCCCTGAACCCATATCTTTCGAGATCGACGTGGGTGGGTGCCTAGGACTATTTGCAGAGAGGTATTCGGCCATGGAGATGCAGAATTTAAATGCTTACTGGGATTCCACGCATCGGTTCCCAGTGTCCCCAGCTTTGGCCTGTACAGATCTGTACCTGGCTACTTTATGCGTGGAGTGTAAGAACCGGCGGTGTCATGCTGGTGCCCGCTGGAAGGTGGTCTTGTTTCTTTTCCTTATTACCTTGCGTAAGGGATGGTGCGACATGGATCTACTGTTAGACCCGCTATTCATGCACTTCCCGCAACGTACGAACGACGTGCTCTGGTACCTCGGCATTGAAGCGCGTCTAGACAACTTGGCGGACCCACAGTTGAATCGCCGCGACCTCACCACCCTGATCGAAGCGCTCGCAGATTGTGACGATGCGGATTCGTGGCGTACACACTTCCGCCTTCACTACGCAGACCACTCAGCTCGCCGGATCGCGTATTTAGCTCGCGAATTCTTCAACCTGACGTCCCAGATTGCCGCCGCACCGACCGCCGCTCCGTAGTGATGGATCTCAGCCCAAGTAGGTCGGCTTTGCCCAGATCTAAGGCTTTCTGCCACAATACATGTCAATTTCTCCTTGACCCATGCTTCATTACCATCTTGAATACCCACACCGATACATAGGCTTTCACCGTGGATCCAAACTGCTACACACCTCGTTCACGTAGATCTCCTTTTGACACCCTTTATATACAATTTTACGCAAACCCTGTCCTCCGATATGCAACCCCCTCGCAGATCGGGTAACCACTTTACCACACCAGTGATCATCTCCTCAGTGTGAATCCAGGTCTCACGGTTCTTCATGAGACAGCATCACACCAAATCTATTACGATTGGTGCGGTCTCGCAGAAACTCATAAAGTAGGACGCCGGAGTTGAGATCTGCTTCATCTACCCAAGTTGGATATTCATATATTCGCCAGTGCACTAGGAACTCTCGATAGATCCGTCGATATCTCGTCCTTTTACCAGTCCTCATGTCGGAAATTCGGTCCACTTCATATTCATCTGGATTTCGAACTTGGATCCAACTGTCTTCAGGTAAGAGGGCTTCCTCGAAGTCAACTTGATCTGCATCCGACCCCACTAAACGAGCTACGGGACAATTCGGAAACTCCCTGACCGTCTTGATTTTCGATACATGTATTACCAGGAAGATGCTATACGTCGATCATACAATCTCCAGCTTCACCGCATGTTCTCAGATCTTTTCAGCGACGCGAAATATGCCATGCCATAGGTGTGCCGATTTTTTCGCATATCCGTCACGCACTCGATCCAAGTATAACCAGATCCTCGATCCAGCGTCCACTGGATGTAGGCGTACCCGATCATTACGTGTGTCTGCTCGATCCGCGATGGCTATGCGTAAACGTTGGTTGACGTGTTCTCGGGACTGTTGGTAATACTTTTGCGTATGATATCGTCACCTTCTTGGATCGAGATCATGCTGGCGACTACTCCCCACCGGGATCACCGCTTCCAGAGTAGATCTAGAATCCCAGCGATGTATCATGTAGAAAGGGGTTTCACCTTGGATCCGATCTCTTGAAGGATTGATCGCAAAGGTGAGCCACTCAACATAGATTTCCCAATCACGTTGATCCAGATCCTGCACATACATCTTAAGAGCTCTGGTGGTTGTCTGGTCCATCCTTTCTGCGAATCCATTGGCTTGAGGTTGATAAGACATAGTAGCACGTTGGCGTTGGCACAAGATCTTGTTGAAAGACTTGAAGAAATCAGACACGAAACCTGGTTCTCAATCATGCCGGATCACCTCGCTCGCACCAAATCGGCGGAAAACGCATTCTTCGTAAGTCTCGGCGATTGTTTGTGTAGATCTAGAGGCGCAGGACTTGGCAATTACATATCCAAAGAATAGATCTACAAAAATCAACAGTTCTGTGTTGCCATTGAAAGATTATGGTAACGAGGGTATGTGATCCATAGCGATGAACTCGAACGGGTATGGTACCTGAAGGTTACCTGGTGATTCACCGTGGATCCAAGGTCGTCCTTTGACTGTTTTGCATTCGACACATTCTCCCACATATCGTTATACGCTTTTGTGCAATCCTCTCCAATAGGAGTGATCTCGGATCCGATGATAGATTCGACCAATTTCTTGGCGACCATTCTGCAGGCTTATATGGTAGTGATGCATGATATCTTGCTGGAGCGTCTCAGGCACCGCCAATCGCATGAACTTGTCTCGATTCGCAGCGGCTTCTTTGTTACCGGGAAGTAGAAGAGTAGATCTGATTGATCTACTTCATAATTCGTGGGCATTGATCCATATGCCCTAGAATCGTCCTGTGTTAGACCTGTGATCTCCCCGACCAAATACTTCTTCGATCCTAAGATCCATGACTCCTCACTCTGTGCTCGCCGGATCCGCTCGATCCGCGGTTCTCTCACCACTTCCTCACGTAGTGGGCCCGGATCAGATCCCGCTCGCACTCCAGATCTCGCTTTGGATCGGGTCGTTACAGCCGATACATGTGCGATCTCATCTTCGATCTTCACTACCAGGATTTCATCCAACCGGCTCAAGGTCACAAGACCCTGTATCTCCTTCTCAGACTCGACCTCGATCCCGCAGTGTCGTTCCACCACAGCGCACGCCATGCTATTGACACTCTCATTTCAATCCCGCTTGACATGTACCAACTCATGATCTGGCCAAGTTCGCAGTCGATCCAGAGCCCTCTGGCGTAGCAGTGTTAAACCTGGTGTCTTACAATCGATCTCACCGCGTACTTGTCGGATCACCAGGTTCGAGTCTCCGCTGATCACCAGAAGTCGTGGATCCAAACCTTCCAGCAGATCCAAGCACAACGGTAGCCCATGATATTCTGCTTCGTTCACTCTCAGACCTTCAGCATAGCCAGATAGCAAACTCCATTCGGCCAACTTCCACAAGACCGCGCTATAGACGCCTCCACCACTCTTGTCACGAGCGGATCCATCGAAACTAACAGCATATAGATCCTCGTCGCGTCCAATGACAGGGATCGGAGCCTGGATCTTGCGTCGTGGCTCCTTTTTAGAGGCAATCGAGACCAAGGCCTTATCCACCTCAGATCTAGACGTAATACTGGCCGCCAATGTCCCCAAGATCTCGTCTTCTCCCTTGATACACTTGGTGATCTCGAGAGTCCATGGCGACAGCACGGCAGCCCACTGACCTAAACGTCGTTGTAGCGCCGTAGATCCGAAGAGAAGAAGTAGAGTGTAGGGTCAACACATGGATCGGGCTTCGACCAAGGCATTATTGTTAAGATCCAGAATCCTTAGCAAGGCTAGCATCTCCTTCTCCGTGATACCATTATTCAACTCGTTTTCTTTCAGGGTACGACTCGGAAACATCACGGGGTGGTAGATCTTGTAAATATCTTGCGTCAACGATCGTGAAATGGCCCAGTCAGTAGCATACACCACAACCGTAGCTCGCCGATCTGGATCAAAGTGCCGCAGGATCGGAGTAGTGGTGATCTTGGATTGGAGAACATATGGGCATGGATCCAACGTGGAACTACCTCAGAGAGATCTTGTGCCTCCAGATCCAACGTCTTTTGGTGGTCAATCGCTGGGTCCTCCTGCGATCCTTGATCCACATTGTCCACCTTTAACACTCGTTGGATCTGCACTTGGGTGATGTCCTTCATCATCGCAGCGAAGTCGATCGCTCGCAACTCGTACAAGACTGACGTATAGATCGCGTAGTCTTCAATGAATCGGCTTAGTAGTCCAAACTTCCCAAAACTGACTGCATAGCTGTAAGTGATCCTGGAAGCGCTAGATCCGTCAGCGCAGACAGATCTTTCGGATTCACCTCCACTCCATTGTGAGAGACCTTATAGCCGAGATATTACACCTTAGGCATTCCCCAAAAACTCTTAACCACGCTGATTGACAAATTCCACTTGCCGCATACTTCAAGTAAATCTTCCCTTCGATCGCACAGTTGATCCCAACTATTGACCGGTATCAAGATGTTATCGATGTATGATCTACGCCCAAGCAGTGATGGTTTACCTAAATCCACCGGTTCCCCTGACTCAACCACATCCAGAGTTGTTTTATCGCCTTCAGACTTCGGGATCCGGGCGAATCCGTACAGTGCGTTGTCGATAACCCGTTGATAGATCTGGAACACATTCTTCAAGCCTAAGGGCATTCGATTTCATTCAAATAGTCCAAAGTGAGTGATAAAAGCCGAGATCAAACGAGCACGATCCGTCATTTTCACCACTCAAAATCCACTCGCCATCTCCAATGAACAGTACCAAAGTGTCAACTCCAGATCTTCAGGTATGTCGCTGATCAAGGACATCGGATAGATCATCAGCTGAGCTGAGCTAAGCTGCTAACCAGCCGATAATCGATGCACAGCCTGATATCCACTCATTTCTTCTTGATGATCACCACGATTGGGGAACACCACGGTGATCTAGAGTAATTGATCATCTTGGCGGACAATAGACCTTCCATCAAGTCTGCTAGCTTCTCCCTGAACTGGACTCGCAGCTTACGACACTTCAGGGCGATAGGTCTCGCTCCCCGACGTCGATATCACATACAACACCTATAGCAGCCGGCGGAAGGCATTGCCTTTGCCGATCAAGAGGTGTCGGAACTCCCAGATCCTTTGGAAAAGTCGATCAATTACTTCTGATGCTGAGTATCAGATCCACATAGCTGAATCTCCTCGATCTTCACATCTTCCGTCGTCACAGGCACTTGAGACAGTACCGCCATCTGACCGTCGACATCTTCCGCGTACAGATCACTTCCTTCATGGTAGTATACATATTCATCATATTCTTGATCTGAGTCCCAGGTAAGGTCCAGATCAGACGCGTCTGGCTGATCTTCAACTAAAGATGAGGGATCCATGTCCGATTTTGCGACATAGCCGCGACTCACATGTCGTTCAACGGATCACCTGCCACATGTCTCGTCCCAGATTGTACACTCATCATGGATGACGGGTCTGACCCACCGCATTTCGACGGTGATGTTCCTTGATCATGACAACCCAAGTATAGTTGATCCTAGTTGACGACTCCAAATCCATATCAACCTTCCTCTTTTCGCACTTCTACCGCACTTGTAGTTTCCGTCAACAACGGATCAGCCGCCCAGGTGTCTGCTGTTACTTGATCAAGATCTTCCAGCGCCTCCTTGACCGTTACAACATGCAATATAGAGTCTCCATCTGCATGAGACGGCAGATCCGATTCTTCACTTGCGACAGACGCTAGATCCAACGGTCGAATCTCCGGCGACGATTTGTCCGACGGCGAGCCGGTCGAAGGTAAGCAGTCAGGAATATCTTGATCCTCACTCGTCTCGACCTTCCGACACTTGATCGACGTCGTCTTCGGCCTCTGGAATATTGAACGTGGAGTCTCGTATTCGGATCGCTCCTCCACGGGTCCAAGCGGGGCCTCAAACCCCGTATCTGCCAATCGAGCGTCCGTCGTGGCTTCTAACGATAGTTTCTGCCACTCCATGTAACGGCGCGACCCGGTTGAGATGAAACCTGGTAGTCATGACACATAATCGCCAACCAACCAGATCCCGATCCGTTGGTCTTGATGCAGGATCAACATCTCGTCCGCTCTGTTGGTGATCGCGACGTACTTCATCCTCACTGGTCTGTCGGATATTATGAGAACACATCTATCCCCACGTGGGACCCAAATCCTGTCGTGGATCGACGACCGTAGGCGCAATGGCAATTCCACCTACTCTCCTGCTTGGAACCGAAGGTATTCGCAACGTTTACGATCTTCGCCTGGTTGCTATAGAGCTGTCGTCTCCCACTAAGCTGGATTCGGACCTCATCCGACAAGCTGATCTATTCGTGAGCTAGACCCAGGCGAATCCCGGCTGGAACCATGAAATCCATACCAAGTATAGCTTGTTGGCCAGTTAGATCACCGACCCAGATATCGGAAAAATATACCAGTGATCCAGCGAGAGTCACCTCGATCCGGGTTCTTCCTTCTGTCCGGTACATATTGCCACCAATTCCCACGCAATCCTGGATCTGACTCGAGTCGATATAGCACCCAACCTTACGAGCAAATGTGGTGTCCACGATGGACACCTCGGCACCTGTATCTATGAGTAAGATCGCTTTCTCATTGTAGATCTCGCCTGTGATCTTGGCTTGGCCGAATCATTTACCTGGAGAATGATGTTTCCAGTAACCACGAGACTCTCCCGGTATCAGATCCATGGTTGTTGATCATCGGAACTCCGTGATCTCACTATGTCTCTTGCTCTCCGATGTAACCTCGTGATCTCTGGGTTTAAACCATAGATCTGGATCTTGCTGTATCCAATAGCCACGTGACTCTACAGGTTGAAGATCCACACGCATGATGACTTCCGATCTGGCATATTCGTCGACTTGGCGAAGACTGGAAATTGTGAAGGTATGTTTCCCATGCAGATCACATGTATTACCGTGTAGATCTGGTCGTTTGCTAACTTGGTCTACTGATTTCTAGTTCACAAATGCATAGATGCAATATCTAGAACGATCGGGTCGTATCGGATTCCACCCCGACGAGCGTCCTAGTTTAACAACCTCTCAGCAGCTTCGGGTAACATACCTATATTCTTAGTGGGTTTAAACCATTGGCGGATCTGGTTGTAGAACGCTTCCATCGGACATTTTCCCATGTCATGAAGCTCTCCACATCCTCGGCACACCAAAAGGCAATGATCCGACGGATGTCCTCTTTTACCGCACTTCGTGCACGTAACACGCCTCCAGCAAACGAGATTCGAGTGCTTCCTGGATCCACAATGCGAGCATCGATTGCAGTTAAACAGCCATTATGATGGGTCTTCGAGTTGTGATCTTGGTGGCCATGATCACGGTCTGGAAGTCGTGGATCTAGGTTCGTAGACTCCTTCGCCACTTTTGGGGTCGCACCTTCGTTCGAGCAAGAAAGTTTCTGCGGTGACTGTCGATGTCGGCGTCAGTTCCAGCCGATTCGTCGATTCCACTGTCAGATCCGGAGTTAGGAGCTTGGATCTGGATCGAACGCACTTGTTTTACCGGAGCGGCGGGGCCGTATTGGTGGTCTTCTGGCGATACTTGTTAGATCCAAACTCGGCTTTCTTCTGACGATTCGTTGCGCGATCCCAAGCGCGGAGGACTTCTTCGAGATCGTCCGCGTCTGTCAACCGTAGCAGGGTTAATCGTTCTGCTAGTCTTGATCCTCAAGCGTCACGATGTAATGATACACATGTTCACGTCGATCTTTCGCGATGCCATCCTTGATCTTCAGTCGCGCACGGAGTCCAGCCACGTTGAGCTGATACAAGTAGTCCAGTGGCGATTCGTCAGGTCTGCGTCGCGTATGGTAGTATTGTCTTGATACCGATACTCCAAGCCCACAGTATTGGATCTGAAAACAGCGAAGTAGATCGCTCCATTTTTGCGAGTTGATCTACTCAGCTGGCGATACCAGTTCTTGGCGTATCCCGCGAGAAGATCTGCAAAGGTCTAACACTTCTCATCATCTGATGCTTGATCTCGCATGAACGCAGATTTAACCTTGCCGATCCACGCCCGCGCTCGATCCTCGTCTTGACCCTTACCAGTGAACTCCTTGAGATCCGAGATCATCGAGATCCAAAAACGCTGTATCATGGTGGAACTAGTGGATCCAGCAGCGACAGTGGCTAGCGCAGACGTTGGAAAGTCTACATCATCGGGATCGTACTCCCAGCGAGATCCACGATCAGAGGATCGAATGGATTCCATCTCGCCATCTTATGATCCTTGATGCTGTGGCTGTGCAATAGTTGAATCTTTCATCGACTCGCGCCCTTCGGCCAAGTATCGGTCCATTGCAGCATCGAAGAACTTCGGCAAGGTACCGACCGATCGATCCAAACTCTCAGTGGCTGTGGCTTGATCCGTCACCGCTGATTCATTATCGCGGCTACTGGTTCTGGCTGGACTAGAACGGCGGATCTTGGATCTTGCCTCCAGAATCGATGCTCCAGAGGGTCCGAGAGACATCCGCCGTGGTGGCTCGGAGGAAGTGTCGGATCCATCTTCCGCGACTGACGCATAATACGACGACACCGTCAAGTTGTCGACGACGTCGGCCATGGTTAATGACAGTGGATCTGGGATTTGGGGCACTTCACCAACTAGGATATTCAACTTCTCGAACAGAGCGCGACCAGTAGGTTGAATAACGTTGAGATCCAAGTCAAACAGAGCGTCTGCGTCGAAGGATCCAGGGACAATACCAGCTTCTCTCAGCAGACGAATCAGTTCCATTGCTGCATCGAATTTGTTGGCCAGTGTTGTGGGAGCAGTCACAGACTCCTTCGGATCCGCGATCCGTTTGAATTTCAGAATCGGCATCACTGGATCCTGGTGCACGAAGTCATGCAGTTCCTTGCGGTGATACATTGACTTCATATCTTCTTCAGACCAGCCAGATCCGTGGTGATCTTCATCTCCCTCATCTGGCGCTTTCATTTTCTTCCGCACAGTCTTGATTCTTGGCTTCCCGACCTCGGATCCGCGTCTTGCGTGTCCTTGGGCAGATATAGTGTTGGCTTATCCGGATCAATGAATGAATATGGTTCAGCCTTCACCTTTGTTTGTTTTGTTAGTGGATCTTGACGCGAGTCAAGATCCGCAGGGGTCTCGATGCCGGAGATCTGTGAAGGATGAGAACCTCCACTTATCCTGGGAAGTCGCGCACCTTGCCTTGTTATAGGCGAAAACAGTCAAAGTCAACGATGGCTGGGAATGCACTCCAAGTCTCGCGCCGGGATAAAACACCGATACCGCAAGAGCTCCAATGGTATGTCACTTCCTTCCCACAAGTATCAATCGAAATCCAGTCGAAACAGGCGTTCAAGTAGCACAGAATATGAAATAACTCAATTAACCCAACAATAAAGTAAGATTAACCTTGTTAAATTGGCTTGAGTTTTATGCAAAAACGATTAACCTTGAAGGATGATGCCGGAACGCGTGCTAAGCCTGCACGCTCACCGATGTGACTTCTCCTGCGTCCTTCGGGGCAAATTGAATTCCGATAAAGTTTTAACACATGCAAAGGGGAACCTACATAGATCGGGCGCCAGTCCCGCTACAAACTATAACTCAAATAAAAGTCGAAGGGT